ATACAAAGCAGAGGTCTAAACACCAGCGAGGCCATAGATAGGCATGTATATACATGCACACACACATATGTTAGGTGTTATTATGAATACATAATATAGTCATATATTCATGTATATGAATATATACACATGCACAGACACGTTAGATATGATTACTATATATATGTATATACAGTGAATATATATATGAATATGTGATATATATTGAATATATAGATATACATGCACACACACATAATGTTAGCTACTATTACTATACCTCATCTCACTATTCATATTCTGCCTTGGATTACACTAACTTGAGTATCTGCCTTATGTTCCTCTAGCACCCGGACTATAAACTCCTACAGGGCTACGCTGGTCTTTTCATTGCTACCTTCTACTGTGACTCAGAGTTGGTACTCAGGAGCTAGTTTAAGGAATGGAAGAACATATCTTTTACAGCCATTTTCCAAAAAGCATGTTATTACAATGAGTTGCATTCTAGTGATCCCCACACATTGTGTGTGTGGGGTGCTCAATGTCTACACATTAAAGGCCACCCCCTACACAGGTTCTCAATGCATTCCTCAAAATGTATATATAAATGGACTGTATGGAAATTGAACAAATGACGTACATGTCCTGAAGGAATAAAAATCTTACAGCTGTGTTATTGTTACAACAAAATAAAGGATCTCCAGGGAAGTGCTTCTGAGAGTACACATAATATATAGTCTATGATCAATGTATACCATAGTTTATGAAACTTATCACATAATCTATCACACATGAGATGATGGCAGGTATCATTAGATGCTCCAAATTGTAAAGTCTTCAGCTTCAATGAGATGCCCTGGGACTTAACTTAGTCAGGAGTGTTCAGTTGTGACACAATTTCCAAAAATGTATATGAAATGCTGGAAAAGATCATTAAAGGAGAGGTGAAATGATCTCACCTAAAAAAAAATTAAAATTCTAGATTGAGATCAGTATAAGAATGTTGGGAGTTCCTCAATAATTTAACATAAGGCTATGAGTTTGTTTCTATTATTGCTTGTAATATATAATTGTTGGGACAAGGGAGAGGGGCAGGGGGTAGGTATTTAGTATAATACCAATCAAAATCCAGCAAGTTTTTCTTGGCAGCTGACAAAGTGATTCTGTAATTTATATAAAAATGCAAAGGACCAAGAATAGCCGAGACAACCTTGAGGAAAACAGAACAAATCCGCAGGACCTGTAGTACCAGATATCGGGACTTACTGTAAAATGAAAGCTATCGGTCTACAATGGAATGACTAAGGAGAATGTGGGTATTTGTAGCGTGTGACACTACAGAGGAGTGGTTCTCCACCTCTGGCATGTGTCAGAACCGCTTGGAGGCTGACTAAACTGATTGCTGGGTTCCACCTGTCTGTCTACATAGAACATAGCTTACATTTCCCCACTTAGCTGCCTTTACCAAGCTACGGATGTCTGTGATCACCTCTTGAATGTTCTCTCCTCTCTCACATCAGCAGAAGGGAATGAAAGAGGCAAAAGAAGCCCGGTTTCTGGCTATTAGGACAAGCCCAAGGATATCTCTTTTTTTTTTTTTTGAGACAGAGTTTTGCTCTTGTTACCCAGGCTGGAGTGCAATGGTGCGATCTCGGCTCACCGCAACCTCTGCCTCCTGGGTTCAGGCAATTCTCCTGCCTCAGCCTCCTGAGTAGCTGGGATTACAGGCACATGCCACCATGCCCAGCTAATTTTTGTATTTTTAGTAGAGACGGGGTTTCGCCATGTTGACCAGGATGGTCTTGATCTCTTGACCTCGTGATCCAGCCGCCTCGGCCTCCCAAAGTGCTGGGATTACAGGCTTGAGCCACCGCGCCCGGCCTGGATATCTCTTATATCAGGTCAGCCCTGCACCACTTTGCTGAGACACTTTGCTGAGACACTTATGAGTATTTCCTCACACAACCCTGACAATATAATCAGGGCATAATTATGGTAGCCATCCTTATCACCATTTTATAGAGGAGGAATTGGCCACTGGCTGGATTAACTGCAATGCTCTAAAATTAGACAGTGAGGCTGGTTGCACAACCAATGTACTAAAGCCCAGAAGCACACTATTTTTCAAAAATTAATTTATTTTTGAGTCAGGGTCTCTGTCGCCCAGGCTGGAATACAATGGCACAATCATTGCTCACTCCACTGTTGACCTCCTGGGCTTGTGATCCTCCCATCTCAGCCTCCCAAGTAGCTGGGAGTATAGGTGAACATCATCATTAGTGGCTAATTTTTAGTTTTTGTAGAGACAAGATCTTTGCTATTACCCAGGCTGGTCTTGAACTCCTTGTCTCAAGCAATTCTCCTGCCCTGGCCTTTCGAACTGCTGGGATTACAGGTGTAAGCCACTGCACCCAGCCAATTCTACAATTTTAGATTCCCATCATGCCTCCTGAAGTTTCATGTTGATAAGAGATTCCCCTTCACTTCTAGGGCTAAAATACTAGTGAACTGTTCATATGATGGTTTCTGAATGACACGTGACAGCTTTTCAGCACCTATATGACTTCATCCTGGGTTTCAGGACATTATGAGAAATGCTTATCAACACCAAAGATACCATAATCTCTATCCCCAGACTCCTTTGATGGTTCCTGTTTCAACATAAACAACCACAGATGCAACCATTTAGATTTCTAATTTATTATTAAATTACATACCAAAGCTGCTTCTATACAGTCAGAAAATGCACATTTAGATGAGAACAAAAATTAAGTACAAATACAATAAAATTGGTTCCAAGAAGCTATTTTAAAAGCAAAAACTTACAAAGTGCATTTGGAAAATTATAGGTTTTAAAAATCTGTATTGGCATTTTTTCACGAGGAAACATCTTCCATCATAGAAAACTCTGATTGGAACTGATTTCCCTCCTCCCTTAAGAGCTAACAGGGTGGGAATGGATGCAAATACGTTGATCCTGAAGTGAGCTCTTAGGTACAGAAAAAATGAGAAAGAGCCTTCAAGACCACATGGCTCAGCTTTAAGCTTCTTACCCACTAAACTCCTCAAAATTCACTTGTTCCTCCCTCATTTTCTTTTTGCCCATGAAACTTAAGAGTATGCAGGTTTATAAAGGAATAAACAAGATTAGTTTATTAAGACCATAATGAAAAGTTCTGCATCTTTTTGGAGACCAGGCTAAATAACCCTTAACCTAACAGGAGAGTGGAACATAACGATTCTAACTCTCTGAGCAGAATCCATTTGTTCTTTAGTTACATTTGCCAGTGTAACACTAGACATGGCCAGTTATCCCCAACAACTTAATCTTGCAAGTTAGAACACTCAATCCATTTCCAAAAATCATATCTGACAAACAATCAAACATGAGGTATTAGAAACCAAAAGGCTAGTCCAGTTCTCTTAGAGTCATTTTCCTCATGTTGAGATCATTAACAGTGAAACAGAAAATTAACAGTGGAACGCAAACGCAAGGTGCCTGAATTCCATAGAACTCAAGAGCCACTGCATCAAAAGGCTCAGTAAGTATCTTTTTGTATTCACATCCAGGATGAAAGAGCTAAAGTAAGTATTATTTGGCTCCAGGTGTAAGGACTGCCCTCATGGTATCTCCTCTCATCACCTGTCTCCGTTCTCAGGTGTTTTCTTCCATTCCTGATCCGAGTACCAGGCAGTATGGAAAAAGGCAGGAGAATCAGAGAGAAGGAAAGCCCCTTTCTAACACAAGAGAAAGAAAAGGTGAGCAGTGCAGGTTACAGGGAGTCCTCCAGCATCATTAATAGGAATTGATAAGAATGTAGAGATTGCCAGGATAGATACGCTAAAGTACTTGGATCTAAGTTTGAATTTGAATAATGAATTTATTAAACATTTTTACTAAAGTCATCAGTACACATTAAAACAAAACATCAGAAATACATCTTCTGGAATTTCCTGCCCTTTTTGTTGCCGTGCTTTTTGTTTTTTTTTTTAAAAAGGGTCTCACGCTGTCATCCAGGCTGGAGTGCAGTGGCGTGATCATGGCTCACCACAGGCTTGAACTCCTGGGCTCAAGCGATCCTCCAGCCTCAGCCTCAATAGCTGTGAGCTAGAACCACAGGCACTTACCACCGCACCAGGCTAATCTTTTTATTTTTTTGTAGAGACAGTCTTGCTACATTGCCCAGGCTGGTCTCAAACTCCTGGCCTCAAACAATCTGCCAGCCTTGGCCTCCCAAAGTGCTGAGATTACAGGTGTGAGCCACTGCACCAGCCCTACTGTCATGGTTTTTCATATTTTTTCAGTGAAATGAAAAGTTTTGAGTGGTTACTTAAAAGGACCAAAAAGGAAAGATCTGTAATAATAAGACAATAGCTGAGGGGGTATAACTTCCCCTAAGAGGCAACATTTGGAGCCAGAGGCAGAATATTCCTTCTGACCTCCTGGCTGTGACTAGCATTAACAACTAACTAACTGTTAGTCTTGGAATCTGTCAACTGGTCCACAAGGAGGACAGCAAAAAAAGGAGAGAGAGCCAAGGTGGTTAAACGAAAAAGTTAAATGACATGGAGCTGAAAGAGCTCAAAAAATCCCTTCATGGGATCCACATGGAGCCCCTTCCTGTGAACACACACCTCTATTCCCTTGCTGGACTTGTTTCTTTCTGCAAAGGAATCCGAAGAGGAAAAAGCACTGGCCTAGCTGTCTACATGTGGCACTGGGTCACCTCACCATGGGCTGCAGCCCATGGGAGGTTAGTCAGACCTATCTGACACCAACATCTACACCAAGCCTTTTAACTTCCTTGGAAGAACTGGTTTCTTTATTTTCATAAAGAAAATAACCAACATAATTCCATTACTTCACATAAGCAAAACCCTAATGGAAAGGCCCATCAGCCATCAACATGGTGTGTTTGCTTGGCTGCAGTGAGCTAGACTAGCTTGTGTCCTAGTTTACTCTCACACAATCAGCTTTAATGAATGCACCAAAGAATCAGACCAGTAAAAAGGACTGGTAGTATAATTAAATAAATAACTTTATTTATGATACTTCAAATTTTATAAATGCCAACTACATAGCAAGCAAAGTCCCATAAATTCTAACCGAGACACAACCACCAATCAAGGCCCTTTGAAAAATCAAAGATAATAAAGTATCAGAGGAGAAAAGCTTTTGTTCTCCCAACTGAGAATTTAATCAATCAACTTTCTTCCCTGATCCTTTAAGGTTCACAATGGGAAAATGTAACTTTCTTTTAAGGGTACCCTGAATCAATGAACAGTCAATCAACCCATATTTAGAAAAATAAACCCCATAGTTAAGAAAAATATATCAAATGCCCTTCACACCCATAATGTAACAAAACTTTGACACCAGAATGAAAAACCTCTCAGTCTCTGTACCAAACCAGGTGTTAGCCCACCATTAGCAAGTTCACCTGAATAACAGCATCTATACACCATGATGTAGCTGAGAACTATATGCTGATATCCTTTTATTCCCTGTGGCTCGGACTGAAGCCAATACTATAAATACCACAGTGAATTCCAATGGTGAAGAGCAGCAGTGTAGATGTTGGAAATCTACAAACCAGGTGGTAGTTCAGTAAGACAAGTCATGAATTTACAGAAACTAAGAAATGGTTAACTCAAAAGAATTCTGGTGGCTGGTTTAAAATCTGTCACTGTCCACGGATGGTAACAGAAGACAGGTGCAGAGAGAGGCAGATTCTGCCACATGCACCCTCAACAGTGAAAACATTCTCTGGATGTTTGGAAATGGTAAACAGATTTGGAATGAACAGATTTTCACAGGACACAGAATTCCTGGTACATCAGGCAGTAGTCCTTAAACTTTTGCCCATACATTGTGGAGCATTTACACATGGAATTCTCTGAACAGTGAGCTCTCAATACCTTTTTCTGTGTGGCTTTGAACAGATCACATTAGAAATGGAGCAGTCCCTTTCCTCAGTTCCCAGTGTCAATCCTGGTCTGATGAGAACAGTGGGGACAATTACAGACCCTGGTGATTGTTTTCTTCTATCACAGCGGAACTGAGATTTCACCTCCTTTCAGTGGAAAATATCAATCCAAAGGAAAAGTGTTAAAAAAATGGAAACAGTGACTGGTGCCTTAAATAAAAGACTGTCGTTCTTGATGTTTTTCCAGCAATACAGTTAACCCCACTGTACTCGTAATTTAAAAGAAAAAAGAGAGAGTTTTACAGTGTTCTCCATTTCAGACAACCTCAAACATGCTGAAGTTGGTCCATCAGCATCTCAAACAATCTATGAAAAACAGAATTTTCCTCAAATATCAACAGAGTTGAGGAGACAGAGTAGAAATCTATAGCACAGATCATCAAGAAAGAACTTGTGATTTCTCATCATGAGTGTAAAATAAGGGGACAAGAATTATTGTTATTCACAATCCAATCTGGTGAGTAAAAGAAAAGCAGTCTTTGGATGTAGAAAACCTGGTTTTCTGAAGAGCCCAGCTGTAAAACCTGGCTTGTCATCAGGTTTCAACACTATCACAGAAACAAAGAAAACTCTGTTTTTGATTGGTTTACTTGCCTCCTGGGGAGACAAAAGCAACTGAAAACCTTTTTGTTTTTTAAATTAAAAACAGAAAAATATGTTAGAAAAGACAGCACAGAAAAACTGTGGCTTCAGCTCAACCTGACCATGTCACAGAGTCCATCACTGTCAGTCTTGCATTCTTCCTGCCGGTCAGGCTAATTATCAAGACAGTCAACTTCTCGCTCCGATGTTGCCTTATTCCAGACCATGGCGTCAAAGTGGTGGTAGTCAAGAGTCCCTGCAGATGTCCCATCAATGGAACGCATACAGGAGCAACAGGATGGTACAGATCCCAATAACACCCCCCAGGATGAGAGAGTCCCGCCGCTTCCTCAGGTTGATCCTCTGGATCAGGCTGTTCACAGCAGGAAAACGATCTTTGGGAAATCTTTATTAAGGTCATATTTGGAAGAAGCCTCTCTGGTGAATCACAAAAATAGAGATTAGTGGTATCCAGAAACAGTTAGTGACAGAAAGACAGGGGGAAGAAATTCATACCAGGGGAGTCTTTAGCAGATGCACTCGCCCAAACCAGGACTGCCCTGCGGTTCAAGGCCCCTAAAAAATACCAATCTCCCAGTCTTGTGTGTAACACAAATAAGAATGAAAAGAAAAAAAACAAGAGAAAGGGAAAAGAAAATGATAATGACTGCTCCCATGCACCGAGGGCTTACTGCCAGGCTTCAGGCCAGGGTGAGAGCCCGCACGGCTGGAATGAACCCTGGCAGAGGCGCACAGGCACAGCCAGCTACCATCGCCACCACCACCCCATTTCCCTCCCTTTCCTTATTTTCCTTCTCTTTCTTTATCTCTCTCTCTCTCTTTTCCCCTTCTCTCAGGAGACTGCAGAGTTCTGCCCGAGAGTTTGAAGAAATACCTGATCCTTTCCTGCCTTGGAGTAAGGCAATTCGAGGGAAGCAACTCTAGGGTCTGTATAATCGGGCACTGGTGAATTATTACAATTTTGAAAGTTACTTCACAGCAGGAGGCAGGATACACAGGAGGAAAGTGGACGAAACTGCTTTAGCTGTCCTATTTGGGGACATAAAAATATTTAAAATGTTTGATTTTAGAGGTTTTATAGTAGCCACATCTGTATTTTACCTAGTATTTCCAGATATCTTTATGTCTTACTTGTTTTGTGCCTGTGTGGTTTTGTGTTTCTGGCAGTGGTTTCTGACAATATACCTGCAGGTACATCCTCTTTGTTAATAGAAGCATTATACCAAGTTCAGGAAAAGGAACCACAAAAACCACCTAGGGGTTCTGGAGAGCCGGAACCACCCCTGCTCCTTGTGGTCTGCCCCGCATTTTCCTGTAGTGAAAGTACTCTCACCAGAGCCTAGACAGATTTGTATACTTGTATATTCTACATAGTGTGTAAGTAGAACCATGTGTTCTTCTAATCTTGAATTTCCCTTTATGTCTAGAATGGAGCTTTATATACTGTAGCCATTAGTGTGTTTTTGAATTTCTGAATTTAAAAAAAAAAAAAAGTGGCCGGGCGCGGTGGCTCACGCCTGTAATCCCAGCACTTTTGGAGGCTGAGGCGGGTGGATCACGAGGTCAAGAGATCGAGACCATCCCGGTCAACATGGTGAAACCCCGTCTCTACTAAAGATACAAAAAATTAGCTGGGCATGGTGGCGCATGCCTGTAATCCCAGCTACTCAGGAGGCTGAGGCAGAAGAATTGCCTGAACTCAGGAGGCGGAGGTTGCGGTGAGCCGAGATCGCGCCATTGCACTCCAGCCTGGGTAACAAGAGCAAAACTCCATCTCAAAAAAAAAAAACAAACATACAATTTGCAGAAACATTTTAAAAATGTAGAACAAGAAGCACGTACTGAAATAATGGCAAAAAACTTCTACAAAGTAAAATCGCATATAGAGAAAACACTTAATATTTTCTTGCTTAATAAAAGGATAACAAATCCACTGAAATGCAATTATTTGGCATCAGGAAAACCTCTTTCTCAGTCTATAGTAATTGAGTTCAGTCCATGAAACAGGGCAGGGCTGACTTCTTCCTCGGTCTTACATACAAATCCAGGATTTGCTAGTAAGAATATTCTCTCCCCTTGGCCAGTGACTGAGTCAGGAATGGGTAGTAACTCATGCTGGACAACCACAGCTCTCTTGGGAACAGTTGTGACAACTGTTAGAAGACACCCTTTCTCCGAGGGGATTCTTGGGACCCTATTACAGCCATCTTCATCACCCTCAGAGAAGGGCTGCCTGGAGAAACAGACTAACACAGAGGAAAGCTGAGATAAGCGATGGGAAAGAAAGGGAACAAAAAGAGGGAGGAAAGGGAGATTCTTGCTGATAAAATCTCAGCTTCTGAATCCAGCTATGCCTTAAGCCAAATTTTACCCCTGAATTCTACAGTTACATGAACAAATTGAGTCCTTTCTTTCCTCTCTTAAGTCAGTCTTAGGTTACTGTGACTACCTCTCTTTGGGGCCCTGACTAACCCACACCCATTTCGTTTGATTTTCCTTTTTTTGAACACACATTCTTTTGGAGTAACTGTAAATTTCCTAAGTGACTAATTTGTATGAGGCACTTTGCTAGGTTGCAGTATACTGCTTTGCCTTAAGAGAACTTAGGGTTGGGCTGGGCAGGGTGGCTCACACCTGTAATCCTAGTACTTTGGGAGGCCAAGGCTGAAGGATTGTTTGAGATTTGGAGTTCAAGACCCACCTGGTCAACATGGTGAAACCCTGTCTCTACAAAATATACAAAAATTAGCCAGGCGTGGTGACACACGTCTGTAGTCCCAGCTACTCGGAAGGCTGAGTCGGGAGGATTGCATGAACCTGGGAGTTTGGAGGTTGCAGTGAGCTGAGATTGTGCCATTGTATTCCAGCCTGGGTGGTTAACAGGGTGAGACTCTGTCTTAAAAAAAAAAAAAAAAAAAAGAGAGTGGCTGAGGCACAGTGGTGCACACCTGTAATCCCAGCACTCTGGGAGGCCAAGGTGGGTGGAACACAAGGTCAGGAGTTCGAGACCAGCCTGGCCAATAGTCCCAGCTACTCGGGAGGCTGAGGCAGGAGAATTGCTTCAACCCAGGAGACAGAGGTTGCAGTGAGCTGAGATTGCATCACTGCACTCCAGCCTGGGTGATAGAGTGACACTCTGTCTCAAAAAAAAAAAAAAAAAAGTATACATGCAAAAAGAAAAAAAAAGAGAGAGAGAGAACTTAGAGAAGTGTACAGAGTAGTAGAGAAGAGGTCATGAAGAAGAGTGTGGTAAGTTTTAAGGAACAACTGAAAAAAGCTTCAGTGTTTCACATCACCAGTTATTTGACTCCCTCTTCTATTCCAAAGTTTCAAAAGTTTCACTAAATAAAACTCTTGTATTCACTAACTAGCTTTTGTTCTGGCTGGCAATTGAGTTCATAATTTAGTAAAATGAGATAATGTATATAACAGCACTCTGTAAATTTTATAGCTCTATATAAAATGTGATTTTGTACGTGCAGTTTTATACTTAGGGTGACAAGGCAAGAACAGAATTCACAACAGACTGGAGAATAACAGCACACATCAGGATAGTCTTTTCCTCAGGCAAAAACACATCAAACTAAAAGTGACCTTAACTTATCTAGGACGACAAGATACTCAATTTTGAAAATTCTAGGCCCCTCCCCATTTGGCAGCTGGGGGAGGAAAGCTTTTTCACCTAGAAGGCTTGTCTTTTTCAGAGGTTCGGCGAATCAAATGACTCAGAGTGCCAGGCTTTTCTGGTTCCCTAGTGAGTTTCTGGGAAGTATTAATAATCCTAATTTAAATCGGAAAATTGAAACGTTTTTAAAGTAGAGGTTACAACAAAGTGGAGAATGTATCCCAGAATTCAACCTGTGCACAGAGTCACAAACTCTATCAGCAGCTATAGGTCATCTGCACAGATGGCTTCTCCTTCCTTTCCCCTTCCAAACACCTGCTACTGACTTACTCTCTAAAAGGGAAACATAAAAAAGAAAGGCACATGATTTATCAGGTTTACGTAAGAATAATGTATACTATGGAGTTTTAACATGAATTTAAAAGCTTTCTAAAATGTAAAATAATTTGATGAATCATTTTTAAATTCACATTATAATTTTTTTTTCCTAAATCTAGTAGCATGAAACTTTTGAGGTGCAGTCTTTAGGACTTTCACCAAGTAGGAATGCACAATTTATTCATATTATGCAACTACTGATGGGCTCTACTGCTACTGATGATGGCAACCTGCCCCCTATAAAAGCACACACAGACACTTCTCCCCTCCACCCTCAAAACACAGACAGCAAATATTCAAAAAGGATACTGGCCAAAGTGTTCATTTTGCTGTGAATTGACTTCAACATTCCTCTCTGTGAAGTCATATTTTCTTTTGTTGCCATAGCAATGCTTCAAGGAGAAAAAGAGATGACAAATCAGCATTTAATGAGCCTGCCCAGACCCATCATACCCTTAACAGTCAAAGAAAACTATAGTGAGCAACATCATCTTAGAAAGCACTGTGCCAGAAAATAAGGGGGAAAAAAAATCACTTCCCAAGCCACTACTTTCCCACTGTGCTTTTTCCAAATGACTCCACTGTTCTCTGATATCTTTTTATACAAGGCAGTAAGCCACTTCCTATATTTGCTTCAAAATAACAAAAATAAGGCATAAACAGAAACATCACATATTACAAAAGCTTCTTAAAATAGTTTAAAAAGAGGCTAGCTACTAAAATATCCTTAATCGAGAAAAACTGTTGAAAGGGAATTATAAAAATAGAAAAGAAATATAAAATATCATAAAATATGCATATACAACCACCCGTTAATTTATGAAAATTCTACTTGAGAACCAACATTATGCAACATTATGCTGGATTTCCGAGATGGCTGACAAAGGTCATTAACCATGGCTAAGAGGGCTCATGTCTGGAATCCCAGCACTTTGGGTGGCCAAGGTGAGAGGATCACTTGAACCCAAAAGTTTGAGACCAACCTGGGCAACATGGTGAAATCCCACCTCTACCAAAATACAAAAATTAGCCAGACATAGTGGTGTGTGCCTGTGATCCCAGCTACTTAGGAGGCTGAGGTAAGAGGATCAATTGAGCCCAGGAGGGGGAGGCTACAGAGAGCTGTGATCACGCCACTGCACTCCAGCCTGAATAACAGAGCGTGACCGTGTCTCAAAGAAAATGAAAAAAAGAGAGAGTAAAGACTAAGGGAGAGGGGGAAAAGTCACTTTTTGTAGGCTATAATCTCTTCCATGTGACTCCCTTGACGTCCTGTTTAAAAGCTCTCTGAGTTAATATCTGTTTTTTTTGCGGGGGACAGGCTTCCACTCTGTTGCCCAGGCTGGAGAGAGTGGTGTGATCATGGCTACTGCAGCTTTGACCTCCTGGGCTCAAGCAATCCTCCTACCTCAGTCTCCTGAGTAGCTGGGACTATAGGGATGTGCCATCATGCCTGGCTAATTTTTTTTTTTAATTTTTAAATTATCTGTAGAGATGGGGTCTCCCTATGTTGCCCAGGCTGGTCTCAAACTCCTGGGCTTAAGCCATCCCCCTGCCTCCACCTCCCAAAGTGCTGGAGTTATAGGTGTGAGCCACCAAGCCTGGCTCTAAGTTAATATTTTTTGCTATTACTTCTAGGCTTACTCATTTCCCATAGTCTTATCTTTCTGGACATTAGAGTCCTAGAGGGCAGGGTCAGTATCCACCTTGATATGTAACACACAGAAGTGCTTTGCATATTGACACTATAAAGAGCAACAGGAAATGAAATGCTGTTGAGCAATTTTGAAATATTATTTGACACGAATTTTATATTCTTCATAAGAAATCATACCTAGCTTTATACTTAGTGAAACTTTTCTTGTAATGCCTATCATATTTTGAAACAAGGGAAAATACTGAAATAAAAGACCTTCTAATAACATGTTTTTTAACTAGCAAAATAACAGTAACAATTCAATGGTTCTCAATCGTTTCTATCCTATGAGGTACCCCAAGTTTTTATACTCATATTACCAGCCCTTAATTGGCCAGTTCTGAAGTGAAAGCTTAATTAAGGCAGCCTGGCCCTAGAAAACCAGGCAGAAAAAAAGGGAACTAAAGAAAAAAAGAAAAAGGATTAATAGGAAACTTTAAGAATTCCTGGCAAAACGTGATCAGATCTCATGTGCTGATGAAAAGGAAAAAGCTACAAGAAAGATACTTCAGTCAACATCAGGCAATTCTGTGAAAACTTTCTTCAGATGGAAGACTCAGCACATACAATTTAAACAAAAATTCAACACACAATAATGGCTTATTGTTATAAAAAACTATAATGTATTAAGATTATTAATGATGGAAAATATTCCAATCCATTGAATAAAGACTCCATGAAGCCATACAAAATAAACAGATATTTAGGAAATGACCACTGAAATATTCAGGAGTGGTCACACTTCATAGAAGTCACACTTCATAGAAGCTGGATAAAGGGTGGTAAAGGGTATACAGGACTTCTTTTCACTACTGAAATTTTTCTGAAACCTCAAATGATATCAAAATAAAAAGTTAAAAAAGGATTGGTATTAATAATATGGCTACCATTACAGATTACCTAGTATTAGACCAGGCATTTTCCTCACATGATCTCTAGCAGTCTTACAGGTAGATATTATCATCAATACTATGTTTTAAACAGATAAGAAAATGAAGGTTCCAAGAAGTTAAAGTAAATTATCTAAAGAACAGAGATCTAATAAATAGCACAAGCAGGTTCCAAACCAAGTCAGACTTGAAATTTTGTATTCTTTCTACAAAGTGGTAAATATAGCAGTGGTTTAGATAGAGCTCTGTTTTCAGAGTTAGACTCAAGACTGTAGGATCTGAATCCTTAATGCTATTTACTGGTCATGTGACCATGGGCAAATTAATTTCTTTTTTGTTTTGGAGATAGTTCTGAATGATTCATGTCCATCTAATAGGTTATTGAGAAAATTAAATAAAATAATGCATGCAAAGTACTTTTAGCAGAGGCCCAACATCCATGATAAGAATACAAATGTGGCTGGGCATGGTGGCTCACATCTGTAATCCCTGCACTTTGGGAAGCCTAGGCGGGCAGATCACCTGAGGTCAGGAGTTCAAGACCAGCCTGGCCAACGTGGTAAAACCCCATCAGTACTAAAAATATAAAAAATTAGCCGGGCGTGGTAGCACGCGCCTGTAATCCCAGCTACTCAGGAGGCTGAAGCAGGAGAATCGCTTGAACCCAGGAGGTGGAGGTTGCAGTGAGCCAAGATCATGCCACCGCATTCCAGCCTGGGCAACAGAGTGAGACTCCATCCCCCCTACACACACACACACACACACACACACACACACACAGAAAAAAAAAAAAAACGAATACAAATGTTTGTTATTGTCATGTACTTTGATTTACCTTTCCTGAAAAACAATGCTTTATACATTGGTGAATTCTAGAGTACAGAGACTATACCTAGGTAATTTGCTTTTTTACTATCATAATATAGGTATTTTAAAATTCATCAAACCTTGAAAGCTAAGCAGTTCAAAACAACAAATAAATGTCCCTTAAGTAAGAAACTAGTTGAATGTGATTACAGATACTATGAACTATTACTGCAGTAGATTTTCTGCAGGTGCTGTAACAGAAAGTCTATGAATGACATACAATTATCTATCAAATTATGCTTAAAATAATTTTCCTTTAAAAAGTTAGAATAAAAAGACCGAGGTTGAAAATATTAAGTATAAATTAACTGGAAAAATTAACCTAAGTAAAACATCTTAATTAAAGTAACTACAGAAATATAATTTGGATATCAAATATCTCTTATAAGGGGAGGACACAGTAAAAATTTCATCTTTAATGAGGATAAGCAAACCTTAACTCTAGTCATACAGGGTTAAACCTGATCTGTTCATTAAAATGATGTTTCTTTAATTCTAAAAGAGCTGTAACACCGTTCATTAAATTTACATGAAAACAAACAAACAAAAACCAACAAAGCAAAACAAAATCTTATTCCTACCTTATTGTCTCTTCTATCAGACGATCTGAGCTGCAAATGAAAAAAAAATTCAAATTCCAGATTTACTAAATGCACATTTAAAACTTGTATTTAATTTTTCTACATCTATAATTTTTAGCCATTTATGTATACAGAATCTCTAGCTTTTTGAAAGCATCTGGAGAAAATTCTAGACTCTAAATTTTTATTTTTATTTTTAGACAGTCTCACTCTGTCACCCAGGCCAGAGTGCAGTGGTGCAATCTCAGCTCACTGCAACCCCCACTTCCTGGGTTCAAGCAATTTTCCTGCCTTAACCTTCCAAGTAGCTGGGATAACAGGTACCCACCATGCCTGGCTAATTTTTGTATTTTTAGTAGAGATGGGGTTTCACAATGTTGGCCAGGCTGGTCTCAAACTCCTGACCTCAGGTGATCTACTCACCTTGGCCTCCCAAAGAGCTGAGATTACAGATGTGAGCCACTGAGGCTGGCCTGGACTTTGAAATAAATTTAATTCATTCATATACAATATATATAACTTCCATCTTATAACCAGGCATGGTATCTCATGCTGGTAATCCCAGCACTTTGGGAGGCCAACGGAGGCCAGGAGTTCTAGACCAGCATGCCCAACATGGCGAAACCCTGTCTCTACCAAAAATACAAAATTTAGCTGGGTATGCTAATGTGTGCCTGTAGTCCCAGCTACTCGGTAGGCACGAGAATTGTTTGAACCCGGGGAGATTGCAGTGAGTCGAGATCATTGTACCACTGCACTCTAGCCCAGGCCATAGAGCAAGACTCTGTCTTAAAAAAAACCCACAAACATTTCTATCTTACTTTTATTAGCTTAAATCTATTTTTTCCACAGAGATACCTGATAATTAAAGTTGGAACAATTTTAAGACAGCATAAAGAAATGAAACTTTCTTTTTAATCTAGATAGCGCAAAGTTGTCACCACCATTTGTTCAGAACCTAAGAATCAGAACAAACTTGTTGAGACACAATAGGAAAATATAATTCTGATGTCTATAAGTAGTAAATACTTACACCTTAATGTTTATTCCTTTTTTTGGGAAACAGTTTTGTTTTTTTTTTTTAAACTACAACAAATCTCAGCCTACCAAACTTTAGAATTCAATAATCAGAATAAAGATACCAAATACACCTTTCATCTGTAAATTGTTTGCCTTTATGCAACAGGCACTGCAAAGAAAGAGACAAACACAACCATTTGAGGGAGAAATTAATAGGTAAAGTTTGGTAAAGGGCCAGCTTTACAGCAGAAGTAGGAAAACAAACTTCCAGACATCCGTATCCACTTGGCATAGAGTAAGGTACACAGTAGGCACTCAAATAAATATTTGCATGTTTTTTTCCAACTACTTATTTCCAAAAGAATTTCTAAGTTCGTTCTATAAGTAATAAGTCAAGGTTTCATCATAAAGTAGTGGACTAGGTAATCTAAGTTATGGCATATATTAGGGAACAAATGAGCTTTACAAAGTCATAAATACTCGCTGGGCTCAGTGGCTCACACTTGTAATGCCAGCACTTTGGGAGGCCGAGGGGGTTGGATCACCAGGTCAGGAGTTCTTGACCAGCCTGGCCAACACAATGAAACCCCGTCTCTACTAAAAAATATAAAAATTAGCTTGGTGTGGTGGCAGTTGCCTGTAATCCCAGCTACTCAGGAGGCTGACGCAGAATTGATTGAACCTGGGAGGTGGAGCGGAGATTGCACCACTGCACTCCAGCTTTGGAGACCGAGCTAGACTTCATCTTAAAAAAAAAAAAAAAGTCATAAATACCATATATAAATCCTATTATTAACAATTTCATAATGCAGTACAGCTAAGCTGGAGGGACCCAGTATTATGCTCAAACATGCGGAAGGCTTAAATAAAAAAAATATTTCAAAAATTATAAAGATGGTGGTGAAAGACAGACTATGTGGCTATTTAAATGCTGAATCTACCACTTATTAGTTATTTGACACAAGGCAAGTTTTTCTGTGGCCCAGTTTTCTCATCTGTAAATTGGCAAGAATAATAAAACATACTTGCTCAAATAAAGGGGTCTGTATAATGACTAGATCAGTACCTGGTACACAGTAAGTGTTAAGTATTTTTTGCTATTAGTTTCTCAGTAACTACAGATTGTAAATCTAAGCATAAAACTGATATAAATTTCCAGATAAACTCACGATTCTTATGAAATCTATGATTATTAAGTATGCACTTACTCTTCTAACAAACATGTATAGAAGCACCTCTGGAGGTTACTAGGTGAGAAAGAGGCTACAAACCTGCCAAGATCTTACAATGGAGATAAACAAGACATATGCCAAAAGGCGTCTGGTGAAGTGGTCACAAGGCCACAAAAAAAGTGGGTTAACTTGGTTTAATACCTCCTTCTTCAACATAATGGTTTGGTTGACTGTCCTCATCAGGGCTACTTAGCACATTAAAGAGCATAAACATAAGCTGTTCTAAAATCTAAGAAGTAAATATGAACATGAAGAATTATATTGCCCAAATCAACAAACTAGTTTTGTGCCAACAGCCTTAATGAAGATAAATGAAATATACTATTAAATTAAGAGCAAAAGAGCAATCTATTAATTTGCTAATTCTGTTAAGAATAAAATTCTATGAGATTGATTCTATAATTCTCTTCATTTAGAAAAAACTTGGGCCTGGAGAGCAGATTTCTCTGTGCCAAATGATGTGGTTTGACAGCATTTTGCCCCCAGCAGAGCTTCTTTCAAAACTGGAGGAGTCAATCATCTCAAACCCCTTTGCTGTTTTATCAATTAAGTTTATACACTGTTCTAAATCCTTTGTCATTTCAACAATGTTTACAAAGTCTTTACCAGCGCAATCCATCTCAAGAAACCACTTTCTTTCACCTTTTATCATGAGATACTATTGTTAATTTAGTCACATGAGATAAGACTGCAATCCAGTCACATCTTTCAGGCTCTGCTTTCTAACCCTTTTTTCTTTTCTTTTTAAGACAGAGTCTTGCTCTGTTGTCCTAGCTGGAGTGAAATGGAGTAATCGCAGCTCCTTGCAGCCTTCGCCTCCTGGGTTCAAGTGATTTTCCTGCCTAAACTTCCCAAGTAGCAGGAATTACAGGTGCACACCACCAAACCCAGCTAATTTTTGTATTTTTAGTAGAGATGAAGTTTCACTATGTTGGCCAGGCTGGTCTTGAACTCCTGACCTCGGGTGATCCACTCCCCTCAGCCTTCCAAAGCACTGGGATTACAGGGATTATACACGAGCCACTGTGTGCAGCCCAGGCTCCACTTCTAATTCTAGTTCTCTTGCTAGTTCTGCCAAATCTGCAGTTACTTTCTCCACTGAAGGCCTGAACCCCTCAAAGTCATCCAAGACGGTTGAAATCAGTTTCTTTCAAATTCCTGTTAATGTTGATATTCTGACCTTCTCATGAATGTTCTTAATGGCATCTAGAATGGTGACTCCTTGCCACATCATTTTCAATTTACTTTGCACAGATCCATCAGGAGAATCACTATCTATGGCAGCTTTAGTCTTACAAAACGTATTTCTTAAATAACAAGACTTGAAAGTGAAAAATCACTCGAACCACAGGCTTCAGAATGACTGCTGTGTCAGCAGCATGAAAACAACATTCCTTTCCTTGTACACCTCCACCAGAGGTGAATTGTCAAAGAGTAGTAATATCTTAAAATGATTCTTTTTTTCTGAGCAGACTTCCACTTAAAACGGGCTTAAACTATTCAGTAAACCATGCTGCAAACAGATGTGCTGTCTTTCAGGCTTCGTTGTTCAATTTACAGAGCACAGGCAGAGTAGACTCAGCATCATTATTAAGGGCTCCAGCATTTCTGGAAGAGTAAATAAATAATGGCTTCAATTTAAAATCAACAGCTCTATTACTAAGAAGTGAGTCCGCTGTCCTTTGAAGCTTTGAAGCAAGGCAGTGACTTCTCATCTCTAGGAGGAAAGTCCTAAATGGCATCTTCTTCCACCAAAAAACTTTTTTCTACATTGAACATCTGTTGCTTAGTGGAGCCGCCTTCATCAACAATCTTAGCTTGATCTTCTGGATAACTTGCTGCAGCTTCTAAATTAGCACTTGCTGCTTCAACCTTGCACTTTTATATTACAGAGATGACTTCTTCCTTAAACTCCAGCAACCAACCTGTTAGCTTCAAACTTTTCTTCAGCGGCTTCCTCATCTCTCTCAGCCTTCATAAAACTGAAGTGAGCTAGGGCCTTGCTCTGGATTAGGTTTTAAGGGAATGTTGTGGGTGGTTTGATCTTCCAACCTGACTATTAAAACTTTCTCCATATCAGCAATAAGGCCGTTTTGCTTTCTTATCATCTGTGTATTCACTGGAGTAGCACTTTTAATTTCCTTCAAGAACTTTTGCTTTGTTTTCACCACTTGGCTAACTGGCACAAGAGGCCTAGCTTTCAGCTTAGGTCGACTTTCGGTAAAGGCAGTTGTTTCTGTCTTTTGACTTAAAGTGAGAATTGTGTAACTCTTTCTTTTACTTGAGCATTTACAGGCCACTGCAAGCTTATTAATTAGCCTAACTTCAATATTGTTGTGTGTCAGGTAACAGAGAGGCCTGAGAAGGAGTTGGGAATGTATGGTGAATGGTACAGTCAGAACACACACAACTGTCAGGGTGCAGTGGCTCGTGTTTGTAATCCCATCACTTTGGGAGGCTGAGGTAGGAGGATTGCTTGAGTCCCCAGGAGTCTGAGACTACCTTGGGCAACATAGTGAGTCCTTGTATATACAAAAAAATTTAAAATTATCTGAGTACAGTGGTGCATACCTGTAGTCCCATCTACTTGGGAGGCTAAGGTGAGAGGACAGCTTGAGCCCAGAAGGTGGAGGCTGCAGTGAGCTGAGATCATGTCACTGCACTCCAGCCTGGGGGCCATAGAGAAAGACCCTGCCTCAAAACAAAAGAAAAAACCTACACATACACAACATTTATTAAATTCACCCTCTTACATCAGTGAGGCTGTAAACGATTACA